CCTCCCAACAGCCCGACGCCTCCCTCGCGCGCGCAGGCCAGAGCCCTGGGCCCTGCAGCCATGCCAAGAGCAACCGCCAAACGGGCCCGTGCAGAGGATGCGGGCCTCAACGCCCGGCTGTGGGGACGGGAGGCTCCAAACAGGCGTTAGTGAGCACCAAACACCAGTCTGCTGGGCGCAGATCCTCAGTCAGCAGCCCCACACGTCACTCCGGCCCCTCCCAGCAGCCCCCTTACCCTTACCCTGAGTGTGGGCTCCGAGAGTGGAAGACTGGGGCCCCAGCGGGGCATCACTGGGGGGACTGGGGGCCTCAGGGGGAGGGCCAGGACCCAGAAGCACTGGTGACAGAGACCAGGTCGGAGCCCATGAGGCTCCCGCTCTCCACCGAACACCCACCCAGCGCCCCGAGCTTTGGAAACGCAAGAGTTCCGAACTCCAGCGTCTGCTTTCCTCTGGGCGTGGGCAAGGGCTCACCCTGGGACATTCTTTCCCTTATTTGTGAAAGAAAAAACTATTGCGTAGCCTCCTGTGTGCCAGGCACTGAGCTATGCTGGGGACCTGGCGGATGCTGACTCTTGCCTGAGACCTGGGGTGTCCAGATGCTGGTCCATGGGGCACAGACTTGGGGGTGCGGGCTAAGTGAGGGAAGCTGAAGCTGGGACAAGAGGACTCACCATAAGCGGAGTCCCCGGGACCGGACTGACTCCCGGTGGCTCCATCTGTGAAGCAGGGAGAGACAGGGTGAAGAGGGAGGAAGGGGGCGGCTACCTGAAGACCTGACGGAAGTGACTGCACCACAGGAGAAAAGACAAGCCCACGCCCAAGATTATGTCTGCGCCCATCCGAGCCACTGCAGCCGCCCCTTGTTTACCCTGGCAGTCATCGTGCTCCATGGAGTCCTGGTTTCCAGCCTGATCTACGCCGGTCCTGGGAAGAAAAGGAAGTGGCTGCATGCAGGTCTACACCTTGTCCCCACGTCCCAGGCTGGCCCTCAGCTTCCTGTCTTGGCGATGTGGAACACTACCCTCTGGGCATCCGGGGGCTGGCTCACTTACCCACCGGGTCCCCTGATATCCACGCAGCCTCTGGAACTATGCCAGCCACAGTATGGGTCCTGAGAAGCCAGGCAGCTCCTAGGGGAAACTGAGTCACGTGAGGCTGGGACCCCTCCACCCAGTCACACCCCATCCCGCTGCTCCTTTCACCCTGGCGCATTGCAGGCTCCCAGCACCACAGTCCCACCCCTGACTCCCACCGCTGCTCCAGGTCCATTCTTCCTGTCCCTGCCAGCCCCAGGACTAGACCTTTCTGTGCTCCTGCCGCACGGGAACTCGCCTGGGCAGTCCCTGCCTCTCAGGCCCAGCTCACCTCTGGCAGGCCCCATGCCGAGCACAGCGGCTGATGGGGAGGGAGATGACGCAGCCAGAAAAAGCCACAAAGAGCCTGTGACCCTCGCTGTCCAGCTCCAGCCCTATGATGCGTCGCGCAGTTTGGGCTGCGAACTTCCCACTGCACCTAGGGTGAGACCGGAAGGCGCCGACAGAGGCAGGTGAAGCTACCCTTTCTCAAGGGCAGCTGAGGAGCAGGAGGCGGATCGGCAACTGAGCAGAACCAGGGAGCCGCCCTGCCTCCGCCCCGCCCTGCCAAAGCCAGCAGGGACCTTCCCCACCCGTTCCCTTCCACCCCTGTCCTGGGGGGGACCCGCTCCCTCACCGGGAGGGGCTGTAGGCGTCGATCTCTTCCAGTAGGATGGGATCGGGCCTCCCGGGCCGGCCGCTGGGGGGCAGCACCTTTAGCACCATCCCGTCCTCCAAGCCGAGGAACAGGACCGAGACGTTGCCATGGGGCCCAGCGGAGCCGTCCACAGCTACCTGCGTCAGGAGGGCCCTGGAACACAGCCTCGAGTCAGGGCGGCCTGGCCTGAGGCTCCTGGGTCCCCCCCCCCC